CCAAGTAAAACGTATCCTAATAGATCAAGGCAGCTCTTGTGACATAATGTATATCAGATGTTATAAGGAGCTAGGCCTTCATCCTGACGACTTGGAAGAATCCAACAACCCTATGGTCGGCTTCAATGGAACGCCGACATGGCCACTGGGCGCAGCAAGCGTGGAAGTACAAGCCGGTACTAAGAAGATCAAAACAAAATTTATGGTAATTGACACACCCTCACCATATAACATCATCTTGGGAAGACCATGGTTGCATGCAATGGGGGCAGTTCCCTCAACATTACATCAATTACTACGGTTCCCCACAGAGCATGGAATTGAAGAAATCAGAGGAGATCAACTGCAAGCAAAAAGTTGCTCCATGGCAGCAACAAAGTCCACTTGCAACATTCGAGAGCCAAAAGAGGCAGAGATTGAAGACGAGGACATAGATGTCCTAGATGATGTCGGCAAGGAGCCAACCGAAAAGAGTGAAGAGACACTAAAGAAAATCCTAGTCCAAGAGGGCAACGAAGAACGTTTCTTTCTTCTCGGTTCAGGTTTAGCCGAAGAAGAAGAAAAAGAATTAGAAGATTTTTTGAGAGCCAACATTGAAGTGTTCGCCTGGACACCTTATGAAATGCCTGGCATTGACCCCGAGGTCACTTGCCACAGACTGAATGTCGACAGGTCGGCCAAACCTGTGATTCAACGAGCCAGAAGACCGACGTTGACGCACGTCGAAGCAGTAGAAGAAGAAGTAGACAAACTTCTGGAGGCCAGGGCCATCCGCGAAGTTCACTATCCGACATGGTTGTCTAACACAGTAGTAGTGAAAAAGAAGAACGGTAAATGGAGAGTCTGTGTAGACTTTACCAGCCTCAACAAAGCCTGCCCCAAAGACAGTTTTTCTCTGCCCAAGATTGACCAGTTAGTAGATGCAACTTCAGGGCACGAAAGGATGAGTTTTTTGGATGCATACAGGGGATACCACCAGATTGCCATGTACCCTCCAGACGAGCAGAAGACTGTGTTCATCACCCCTAAAGGCTTGTACTGTTACAAGGTAATGCCTTTTGGGTTGAAAAACGCAGGAGCAACTTACCAAAGGTTAGTAACAAAAATGTTCAAGCACCTAATTGGCAAAACGGTAGAAGTCTACATCGATGACATGGTCGTGAAGACCAAAGAATCTAAGGGACATCTTGCCGACCTAAAAGAAATTTTTGATATACTCAAAACATACCGGCTCCGACTCAACGCATCAAAGTGCGCGTTTGGAGTTGGATCAGGTAAGTTTCTAGGATATCTGGTAACGAGAAAGGGCATAGAGGCCAGCCCAGACCAAATCAAGGCCATCCTAGAGCTGCAGAGCCCGACGTCGGCAAAACAGGTTCAGATGCTTACTGGAAGGGCCGCAGCCCTAAACAGGTTCATCAGCAGAAGCTCAGATAAATGCAAGCCCTTCTTCAACTTGGTGAAAAAAGCCACAGACTTTCTGTGGACAGAAGAATGCGAAACCGCTCTAGCCGACCTAAAGAAGTACTTGACCACAACTCCGGTTCTTTCCAATCCAGAACCAGGGAAAGAATTGTTTTTGTACTTGGCAGTTTCAGAACACGCAGTAAGTGCAGTACTCATCCGAGAAGAAAAAGGGGAGCAAAAAGCGATTTATTATGTAATTAAAACCTTGGCCAGTGCAAAAACAAGGTATCTGCCGCTAGAAAAATTAATGATGGCCTTAGTAATGGCTTCAAAGAAGTTGAACCATTATTTTCAGGCACACAAGATTGTGGTCCTAACAGAGCACCCACTGAAGTCCTTGTTACAACAAGAAGACTTAACAGGAAGGATAGCAAGATGGGCAGTGGCACTGGGCCAATATGACCTGGAGTTCAGGCCGAGAACAGCAATAAAGGGCCAAGTTTTGGCCGACTTCGTGGCAGAATTCACCCCAGAAACCATGGAACATCGGGCTCCGTCGAGCTGAGATGAGCAGCATCCCAGCAAACAAGGAGAAGCCCAGCCAAAGGCAAAAGAACAAAGGAAGGAAAAACTCAGACCCTGCAGCATCTACATCGGCGATTCATTCAGACTTTTCGTCGATAGAAGTTCAAACCGTCAAGGAGCGGGGGCAGGAGTACTGCTGATATCTCCAGATGGAGAAATAATAGAACAGTCCATCCGTTTGGGGTTCAAGGCCTCAAACAATGAAGCAGAGTACGAAGCATTAATTGCAGGGCTAAAACTGGCAGCAGCAGCAGAAGCAGATGAGGTAATAGTTTTTTGTGATTCACAACTTATTGTTAACCAGTCAACGGGTGAGTTTGCAGCCAGGGACGAAAGGATGTCGGCATATGCAAAAGAGGTCATCAGATTGGCAGCCCTATTTCAGAACTGCCTACTACTCTTAGGTTAGCCGAGATGACAACAACCCACGCGACGCGTTGGCTTACCTAGCAAGTCTCATCAGACTGAAGAAAAACAAGAGAACAATTATGATCAACTATATGTCGGGCCCAAGCATAGACAGAGAGCACAAAGCAGGCAAGGCCAATGTGTGTGGAATGGGCAAGCTGGATGGATGCAATTATCGCATTCTGAAAGAAGGAAAATTTCCAGAAGATCGTTAAGGAAGCACACAAAATCAGATTGAAATCTGCAAGATTCTGTCTGACAGAAGATGGACATCTTTACAGAAGATCCTTCACTGACCCTTTTAAGTGCATACACCCTTTGCAGGTTGAAGATTTCCTCTATTGAAATCTATGAAGGATTTGTGGAAGCACGCTGGGGGAGATCATTAGCCACAGGCATTACCAGGGGTATTGGTGCCTTACATGCAAAGGATGCTGAAGCCTACGTGAAAAAGTGTGAAAATGCCAAGGTTTGACCTTTGATACATCAGCCGCTGCTGACCTGAACCCAATATCCAGCCCTGGCCATCGCCAATGGGGTATGGATCTGGTGGGAAACTTCCCAGGCAACTGGGCAAAAAAAATACCTTGCTTGGTAGCAACAGACACTTTTACAAAGTGGATAGAGGCAGAACCTCTTTGCCAAAATCGAGATGTTAGACGTCAAGAACTTTATATGGAGAAACATCATCACCAGATTTTGGCTTCCAAGAGCAACGTTGCCGACAACGGAACACAGTTTGACAGCAAATCATCAGACTTTTGTGCCAAATTATCAGATCAAGAAGACTTTTCAAACCAAGCTTTCTCCCAAAGTAATGGTCAAGCAAAGCATCCAACAAAGTAATTTGGATGGAATAAAGAAGAGGCTGCAGGCAGCAAAGGAAAGTGGGTAGACGAGTTGCCAACGTGCTTTGGGCATATCGAACTACGCCGAGAAGATCAACAGGGAATCTCCCTTTGCATGGCTTATGGCACAGAAGCTGTCATCCATTGGAGATCGGCATCCAGGGATCAGAACCAGAGAGTAGAGAATGGCACTAACGACATAGTCTTAGCCCAAGATCTGGACCTCTTGGAAGAACGAAGAGAAAGGCTGCAATTCAGCTAGCAAATTACCAGCAGTAGCTTGCTAGAACTTACAACAAGGTCAATCCAAGAGATTTTCAAGTCAGCGACCTAGTCTTGAGAAAAGTCGTCGGCAACAAAAAATATCCCAGAGAGGGCAAGCTTGGCCCAAACTGGGAGGGACCCTACAGAATTACTTCAGTATTAGGCAATGGAGCTTATCGGCTTGAGGACAATGAGGGCAAAGCATTGCCCAGACCTTGGAATACGTGTAATTTGAAATTTTTTTATCATTAGATGTGCATAATTTTTTGGCCGATATCATCAATAAAGTCTTTTCAAAAATTCTTTCAAACACTTATGACTGATAAAATTACAAACTGATGTTTTCTGGAGACATGAATAATGAGAACCCAAGTAGAACTCAGGTTCACATTGGGGGCAGAAAGAAGAATAATGCGTTTACCACTTGTTGAAATTTGTAGCAATTTACAAGTTGGTTAAACCAAGATAATGTTTAAAACTAAAATTAGACCGAGATGATGCTTAACCAAAGTTAAGCCGAGATAATTTCTTAATTCATTTGTTGAAATTTGTAGCAATTTACAAGTTGGAATTAAGCTAATTCCTTGTCTTCACTTGTTGAAATTTGTAGCAATTTACAAGTTGGAGTCAAGCTGATTCCTTATCTTCACTTGTTGAAATTTGTAGCAATTTACAAGTCGAAGTTAAGCCGAGATTACTGTTTCTCTTCACTTGTTGAAATTTGTAGCAATTTACAAGACGAAATAAAGACGAGGTTATAGTTTGCACACTTATAGCAATCTACAGGATGATCCAACCAAAGAAGATTCTTAACACTTGTTGAAATTTATAGCAATTTACAAGATAATGTTAAGCTGACATGTGATCATCTGTTGAAATTTGCAGCAATTTACAGGTTGAGGTAAAAGCTTAGTATATTGTTTAAACACTTGTTGAAATTCGTAGCAATTTACAAGTAGATCATTGTTATAACTTGAAGAAAAAATTACAGTATATAAAAACACTTGTTGCAATTTATGAAAAGTTTGCAGGTTAGTGTCTTGCTGAAGTAAAAGTTTTGTAGCTATTATACCCGAGGTGCGTAACCCCGAGAAGATTATACAAAGAAAGCAAAATGGAAAGGCATGCAAAAAATTCTAAGTATAGAACTATGCAGAAGCAATCAACAGAAAATTACAAAGATTGAAATATCTATAGAAAAAACAGTTGCAGTTACATATTGAAGAAGGCACTACGGCCTACCAGAAGTAAATCGTTTTTATAGGAAAAGGCACTTCGGCCATACAAAGAAACTTATATTGTCCACAAAAGAAAAAAATCAAAAAGACATTAAAAGATTGAGGCATCCATAAGAAAAATTGTTCAGAAAAAGGCACATCGGCCATACAAAGAAACCTATATTGCCAAACAAACAAAAAAGTACAAAAAACATGGAAGTTATGATTCTTCTGCTTTAGAAGCAATTTGGGTCTGAACCTTGGCAGATTCCTATGGAACTACTTCAGCGGCCTTCTCTGCTGCCAGTTCGGCATCAATCTCTGCAAGCGTTTTGTTAAGATTTCTTTCAGCTAATAGGAGGTCAGACGATAATACCCCTGTAACAGCTTCCCTAGGCGCCTCCCCGACCTCATCACCCTCTTCATCCAAAGTTATGTCCAGGATGGGCTCAATTTGAGAAGGAGACTTGACCCCAGCATCACCCTTGGGTTTCTTCATCAAGGCCTCAGCATTCTGATCATCTTCATCCTCAGGCTCCGACCCAGATTCTTCTTTAGCTTGGCTTGGTGGAAATGGGAGAGGAATAGCGTCGACATTACGGAAAGGTGAGTCAGCAGGGAGGTCAAGTCTTTTTAGCAGAGACATCCAACCAAGGGAAAATCCCATGTTGCATGCTTCCCTAACTTGAAGCTTGTACTCCTCAGCGACGTCGGCCATGCCCTGCGCATAAGCCTTTTCATCAGCTTCTTTGATTTCAGCCTTTTTCGTGGCCAAGGCCTCCTGAAGTTCCTTCTCGGCTTGGGTGGCCTTGTCCTCGGCTTCATTTTTCTGCGCTTCAGTAACTTTCTTTATAGCTTCAGTAGCCTCGGCCTTTTCTTCGGCCAAAGTTTGGGCTTTAGTGACAGCCTCGGCCTGGTCTTCCAATTTCTTCATTTTTGCTTGAAGACCCTTGTTGATCTTCTGGAGTGCAGAATACTCCTTCTGCAAGTCAGTTAACTTCTCCCTGTTCTCAAAAGATTGCACGGAGAAGGAGTGGGCATGCTGAACGGCCTGAAAGAACACAAAAGCAAGAAGTTATTACAGAAGTTTTATAAACAAATAAGGAAAAGACAGGTCACCAAGTGAATACACTTACTTGAACACAGTGTTGAAGCATGAAAGCATAATTTTCATACTCACTCATTCCAGCATTCTTTTCCAGATCACCTGGGAGAAGAAGAACTGTACTAAGGGCAACGCCGACATTAATGTCGTCGACGCTGTCAGTAGCCATGACCGGCTTGTCCTCCAGGGTAATCTCAGGCGTCCAACGGACGTTTGGCACCTTGGATTTTGAAGTCGTTGTAGAGGAGGACCTCGGCTTCTTTGATTGGGTAGAGGGCTGGGTCTCGGCAGACCTTTTCGCAGGAGCAGAAGAAGTCTTCTTACTCTCAGCCAGTTTTGAGATAGGCAAACTATTTTCAGCCTCAACAGCCTTGGCCTTAGGCTGGGCCTTCTTGATTCATTTCGGCTTCAGTGGGGGCATTGGTTGGGTCGGTACAACATCAGCATCAGTCGGAAAGTCGGCTAAGAGATTTTGAGCAATTGGCTTTGCGCAACCCATTTCGGCAGTTTTGATAAGACGGCGCCGACGTTTTCTTTCTGGTATTGGGATCAAGTGTGGGGCTAAAGAAGATGGCAGATCAACTGGGTCAGAAGTGGATCCTTCGTCTGCTCGTGGTATGGAAGCAATGGAAGGAGTTGTGGCAGAAGGTGGAGAAAGACTCTTTTTCTTCTTTTTTGGGACGTCGGGCAGTGTGGATTTGTATGTCGGGATAAAATTTAGTAGCAGGGGAGCCTTGCTCTTGTGGATTGGAAGGTCAAGGAGCTTCTTTAAATCTTTTCATGGGAAGAACGATTGGCGAAAGCTTTTTGGTGGTTGATGAAGATCTGCAGGACAAGCAAACAGTCATTAGAAACAGACAATGTTTTGAAGACTTGGAAAAGGAATAACTAAGTATTGGCACTAGGCTCTTACCCTTGCCCTCTTTAACTGTTCGAGGAAGAGGGTAGAGGTGAACATCTTCGTCTGGGCCAAATTCCCAATTTCCCGAAGCAATGACAAAGTCATCCCCGGCTCCCTTGTTGGAATCCGGGAGGTCGGCTACAATTTTGAACTCGGTAGACCTCGGCTTGAGGTAGTAGACATAACCTCTTTCCTTCAGGTTAAGGGGGCACATGGTATAACAAAATTGGATATCGGCAAGGGTGATCCTAACGTTCTCTTGCCTAGCCAGGGCTATGATACCATTAATCACTCGATAAGAGTTGATGGTAAGTTGCATAGGGTTCAACCTATAGAAGTGGAGAACCTCGCGAAAGAGGGGATTGAGTGGAAGCCGGAGTCCACATTCAGTAAAGGCTACAATAGGAAAGGGCATCGAATGATCTGTGGGCATGATGGAATCACCATCCCCAGCTAGCCTAAGGTGAACATCGGCTGGGATGGAGAACTCCTGCCTAAAGTATTCAAGTTTTGTTGGGGAATTTACTCGATGTCTCCACATACCCATAACGTCGGCCTAAGTTCAGAAAGCTGTGTTTCAGAAAATAGGTGTTTCAAAAGGGTTGCTAGAACCTCGGTTTCAAAACCTGGGAAAGGGCTGGTAAAGTTTGTTTCAGTTTTTCCTAAAGATTGAAGGTTCTACAGACAAATCCCAAACCTAAAATTATAAAGATGAAGATCGGGGGCACAGATCTGGTAAAAAAAAAAACAGAGAACAAAAGCGAAATTTCAGAGACAAGAACAGGGATGGGCTATCAAAAACACGAAGAATACAAAGGGTTAAGGGCCAAGAACAGTAGTGAAACAGTGCAAGTGTTCATAAAATCATGAAATAAGACGCATTCAGGTGAATGATTCACGAATGACACTTAAACAGAACAGTAATGGCAAGAAACTTCAGAAACAATCAAGAATTAGAAAAAGAGAGTAAGGGGGCCAGTTGCTTACTGGATAAACTGAAGCCGAGCAATATTCACCGAGACCAGACGACAGTTGTAACAGTAGCGAAAGCTTCGCGGAAATGGAAGAGTAAGGATGATCACAGAATTTGGGACTTAGAACAATGGCGGATTCGAAGAATGCTAGAGCTTTTAGAGAGAGAGAAAATAAGAAATCAGAATGCAAAAAGTGAAGAAAAGAAAAAGGAAAGAAAAGGTTTGTAAAAAACTTAAAACGGCGGCAAAACAGGGCATTTATTGCACCTGGAGCACCGGATACGTCAGATGGCGCAGACGAATAAAAGACAGCTTGTAAGCGCGTCACAGACACGGGCCAATAAAGACAAAGCACGTGAAAGGAATGGTTAGATATGCATGACAGCTCATGCGCGTGATAGAGTACATTCGAATTCTTATTCTCCGAAGAGAACACATCGACTTAAAAATAAATTATTTCAGCCAAACAGTTTTTGAGCCACTATGCAGAAAGAAATATCGATGTAGGTTCCATTACCTCAGGATGCCGAGGTAATAGAACCTATGGGGCAGTTGTGGAGATATATTTCTTGGGTACCAACACGTGGCATGACGACGCCGACGTGTTTGGCCGAGGTACCACGTGTTATGGAAATTACGCCGAGGTGATCTCGGAGTTGCCGAGGTTGTCTCCGAAGATATCGGAATCCGAGATAAGCGGATAAGGGACAAGAGTCCTAGGACAAATAGGGGACTTCGCCAAGATAAAGATAAAGCTCTTAGGGAGTTTATCTTTATTTCTTGAGAAATCCTAAGTAATCACTAAATTGAAGTCTATAGAAGTCATGCTTCTAGTAGGACTTGGATTGAGTTAAACTATAAAAGAGAGGCACCTCCATAGGTCTAAGGTACGTAGTTTTATACTCAAGCTTGTGAGTTTAGCACTTGATTATCTTTGAGAGATATACTGACTTGATCGTCAGAGTGCCCCCGGGTGGAGGAGCCACCGCCGGAGCCCTTTCTTTCTGTTACAGGTTACTGGAGCCATCTATTCTGCCGGTGTTCTCCAGCTGATTACTAGGCGGGCAGTGTGGTAAGAAAATTACTCACACAAGTAATATATTATTTAATAAAAATATGATAATTATATTAAATTTTTTTATATTATGTAAAATAAAAATTAAATAGAAGCTAGCCAATCAAATTTTTCTTAATTGTTTAAAATTAATAAAATAAAAAAAAATTAGTATGAGATATTGATTGTAAAGTTTCTAACAAAAAATTTCATTTTGTTTATATAAATAGGAGTATAAGATTCATTTTATGTAAGCGAAACAATTTACTTTTTTCCTTCTTTTTTTGATATGAGATTATAAAATAAAAGTTAAATGAAAGCGAGTCAATGTGGATTTCTTAATTGTTTAAAAGTTAACAATTGTTTGGGCATGATATTTATTTCGAATTAAGCAATCTTAGTCGTTTAATCTTTAATTAGGTCAATTTTTAATTTTTTTCGAATGAAACAAATTTAACTAATATATTTTGATAAAACCGCTAAAATCGAAATTAGACCAGTGAATCAGTCAAATCGAAAACGGTTCACTCTATCGGTTAGGTTAAAGGATCAACCAACTTATACAAAAATTAATTAATTAAAACTTTTAAATTTTATTTTAATTTTAAAATTTAAACTGTTTTGAACTAAAGCATACACAACACTACAATATTAAATGGAAGTATAAAGTTTATATAGTGAAACAACTCATTTTTTTTTCCTCATTTTTCTGATGTGAGATTGTAAAATACAAATTAATAGTTGTTTGGACGGTAAATTTATTTCTAATCAAGCAATTTCAATCGTTCAAGTTTTAATAAAGTCAATCTTTGTTTATTTTAAATCAAACAAATCTAAGCCCTATATTTTGATAAAACGGCTAAAATCGTGGTTAAACTAGTGAATCAGTCAAATCGAAAATGATTCAGCCTAATCGGTTAAGTCAAAAAACCAATCAATGTATAACAAAATTAATTAATTAAAATATTTAATTTTTTTTTAAAATTTAAACCATCTTGAATTGAAACATACACAATACTATAATATTAAATGAGAGTATAAGATTCATTTTATATAAGTGAAACAACTCACTTTTTATTTCTTCTCTCGATGTAGGATTGTAATTATTTTAAAGTTAAATATTATGAGAGTTTCAAAATTTCATACAAAATTATTTTTAAAATCAAAACGTTTATTTGGGATTGTACAATAAAAGTTAAATGGAAGCTAACCAATGGAGATTTTCTTAATTGTTTAAAATTTAAAAAATCAAAAAAAAAAATGCTATTGATTACAGGGCTTTTCACTAAAAATTTTCTTTTACTTATATAAATGAGAGCATAAAATTCTTTTCCCGATATGAGATTGTAAAATAAAAGTTAAATGCATATGCACATTAGATTGCAGATTGAAACTATGTTTACAAAAGCACCTTCATATAGTACGAGTGGTATGCTAGGAGTATTGTACATGTGTTCTTAAACACAAAAAAAAAAAAAAAAAAAAAAAAAAAAAAAAAAAATTGGTATTGTTATAGAACTTCTCATTAAAAAATTTCTTTTGTTTATATAAATGGGAGCATAAGATTCACTTTATATAAGTGAAACAATTCACTATTTTCTTCTTTTCCCAATGTGGGATTGTAAAATAAAAGTTAAATGGAAGTTAATCAATGGGGATTTTTTTAATTGTTTAAAATTAAGAAATTTCAATAATTTATATAAATTGGAGCATAAATTCAGTTTACGTAAATGAAATAATTCACATTTTTTTTTTCTTTTTCTGATTTGAGATTGTAAAATAAAAAGTAAATGGAAGTTAGCCAATGAAAATTTTCTTAATTGTTTAAAATTAAAAAAATTTAATAATTTTAGAATAAGGGCTTGGAGTTTCTCTCTTAAAACTCTATTTATAAGATTCATTTTATATAAGTGAAACAATTCATTTTTTCTTTCTTTTCCCGATGTGGGATTGTAACACTTTATATAAGTGAAACAACTCACTTTTTCTTTCTTTTCTCAATGTGCGATTGTAATTGTTTTAAAATTAAGTATTATGAGAGTTTCAAAATCTCATACAAAATTATTTTTAAGATCAAAATTATGTTGGATTATAAAATAAAAGTTAAATGGAAGCTAGTCAATGGAGATTTTCTTAATTGTTTAAAATAAAAAAAATAAAAAAAAATGAGTATGAGATATTAACCATAAGGCTTCTCACTAAAAATTTCATTTTACTTTTATAAATAGGAGCATAAGATTCACTTTATGTGAGTGAAATAATTCACTTTGTTCTTTATTTTTTGCAGATGTGGAATTATAAAATAAAAGGTAAATAGAAGTTAGCTTAGGGAAATTAGAGAGGCATGGTTTAGGTTGGTGAATTTATCATCCTCGATCATTTTGTAAACTCACATGCATATTAAAAAAAAAAAATCAAATTCATTCTAAAGTCATGTTCATGTGATTTTAATGTATTTATCTTTAAAAAAAATATGTGATCTATTTATAAAATTATATATATTATTTATTTTTAAAAATTAAATATAATAAAATTACGTGATTATAAATGATAGTCTTGCTCAAAGTAAATCAAACTTTAATTTGTTCAGAATGTTGCTAATAAAAACTGAAAATAAATCAAAGTCAATCAACTGACCTCTTCTCTTCTCCGATATGTGCCTTGTTACATTGTCATCCATGTGGTCATAATCGTAGAATTAACTTGCATCATTGCATTTTGAGGAAAATGTTGTTTTAAAAATATATTTAATTGTAATCATGCAAGTAAGATGGACCCAATTAGGGGAGATGAGTGACAACTTCCAAATTTTGAAACCCTCTTATTAGATAGGCATATTTCGAAACCCTTTTAAAAAAGCCTTTAAATTATATAACTTAAACTATGATAAAAGCTTCCAACCTAAACTATCCCAACCTAAACAATTCACTTTTTTCTTCTTTTTTCGATGTGTGATTATCAAATAAAAGTTAGCTAATGAAAATTTTCTTAATTGTTTAAAATTAAGAAAATCAAGAAAATTAGTATGAGATATTGAAACTCTCACAAAACTCCTTACTAAATGGGATGTGAGTATAAGATTCTCTTTATATGAGTAAAACAATTTTTTTTTTCCTTCTTTTCTTGATGTGAAATTATTAAATAAAAGTAATTACTTAAAATTAAGAAAATTAAAAAAAATTAAAATGAGAATTTGAAACTCTTAAAAAGGCTTCTCAATAAAAAGTCCCTTCTCTTTGGGGGTGCTTGTTTCAGCTTTTCAGAGCCAACTTATGACTTTTAGCTTTGAAAAAGTTATTTTGGACTGTTTGGTTAAACTTATTTCAAACAACTTCTGATTCTAACAGCTTATTTTAACTCAAAAAAACTGATTCTGAGAAGCTGCTCACCCATTGCTTCTAATTATCAGCTTCTGCTGTGGACATGTTAATTTATGGTTATACTCTTAAATTTTTTTATTTTTTATTTTTTTAAAATTAGAAAAAGACTCAAATAGACTATAGATTATTATTATTTTTTTTATGAGAAATGTAGACAAACAAAAAATAAAAATTAATTGAAAAAACTATTTCACAACTTATTTAACAAACGCTACTCAGCAACTTAAATCTATAATCCAACAGTTACACCAAACAGATTAACAACTTCTAATTAAAGTCATAATCTATAATCTGTTAAGTTATAATCTGTTAAGTTATAATCTATAAATTGTTTTAATAGCTACACTAAACGGGTCCGTTACATAATACTAAACGGGTCCTTTATATAATACATATAGATAGATGCACAACCCATATTAGATGGGTGACTTGGCTCCAACCTGAAAGTTTTGTCGTCTATGATTGACCCAACCCAGTGGTCGGTCTTCATAAAAGAGTTAGGTGTTCTACGCCATCTTATAAGTCCATCCTAGACATTGTTGACGATCATGTGGGATGACATGTACAGAGCGATATCCAATTTCGTTTTTAAGCACTAATTATGTTGTGTTGTGGTGCAGCATGGTTACAAGTAAGCCAAGGAAATGCAAAAGTAGCAGCCATGTTCAAAACACCATCAGGCTTTGAACATGCCGGTTGGGTTGTTGCCGAGTCTGGCTGTTGGTCCATGCTTAAGGGTGGCCTTGTTGTTAATGCTTCTGGCCCTTCTCACCTCTACTTTGAGGTAATAATGTATATATAATCAAAATCACATTGAAATCGGTCTCAGAATTGGACCTATAAAAAGTTCAGGGTTCTTCTGAGTTATTTGTTTTAAGATTTTAACTATCCAGTGTCCTTTGCAGAGCAACAATACATTGGTTGAGATATGGGCAGATAGCATTTCCTTAAAACCATTCACCGAAAAGCAGTGGAGATCTCATCAACATCAAAGCATTGATAAGGTAAACAAAGATAAACTTAGGTATAAGGCAGATTGCATTGAAATTTTGGGTTATTAACAATTAAACTTGACAGAATCGCAAGAGCTCAGTGAAACTTATTGCAATGGATGACAAAGGCAATCCTCTAGCAAACGCCACGTTCTCCATAAAGCAACAAAGACCCAATTTCCCATTCGGTTGTGCCATGAACAAGAACATACTCACCAACACTGGCTACCAAAACTGGTTCATGTCCAGGTTCAGAGTAACCACATTCGGGAATGCAATGAAATGGTACAGCACCGAGCCTTATAGAGGCAGGGAGGACTACTCTGTCCCTGATGCCATGCTCCAGTTTGCTAGCAGAAACAACATCCGTGTGCGCGGTCACAACATTTTCTGGGACGATCCTGAGTTCCAGCCGCAATGGGTGAAATCACTCTCGTCTAATGATCTTTGGTTTGCTGTCAACAAAAGGATGAACTCCATTGTCCCCAGATATGCAGGTATGTGAAGAAAGAAAAAAGAAAAGAAAATAGAGTTTAAAAAAGGCAAAATATCTTCTTTTTTTTTTGTTTACACTAGATTATCTACTGGATGGTCTAGTTTTTGGTCCATTAGACTTGTCATGAATTCTGTTTTTCCAATATGTTATGTTCATTTTTTAATTATTTATTAAAAAAAAATGAGATTGATCTCATAACTATAACTACATGATTTTATTGTCTTAGTGTATAAGGTTATCAATCTCAATTATTAAAAAGAATTTCTATACAAAATGATATGATCAGGGAAGGTCATAGCATGGGATGTAGTGAATGAAAACTTGCATTTCCATTTCTTCGAAAGCAAGCTTGGGCCAAACGCTTCCGCCATTTTCTTCAACGATGTTCACCGGCTTGACCCTGGAGCCATGTTGTTCTTGAACGATTACAATACGATTGAACAGGGTGGTGACGTGGCATCCTCGCCTGCTAGGTACTTGCAGAAGTTTCTACAGATTCGGGCAGGGGGTTATCGAGGACCAATAGCGATTGGACTTGAGTCACATTTCAGTACTCCCAACATTCCTTACATGAGAGCTGCGATTGACAAACTTGCTTCTACAGGGTTGCCAATTTGGCTCACTGAAGTAGATATACAAGGCCCCAATCAGGTATTTGTTTTTGTTCTAATATTACAGCTTTCTAAGAATACAGAAACCGATCAGATAATGTATTTCTAGATTTTTAAGTTCATATTTGGTTCTGCCAGGGATAGCAATTGCTCACTATGAGGGTACTAGATTCTCTATTCTTGAATATGTATATATTTTTTTATCTATTTGTATACATCATTAAATGATATCTGCTCAACCCCCAAGGGTTGGCCTAGTGGTGGAGGCTTGGGACTTAGGAGTTTGCTTCTCTCTAGGTCTCAGGTTCAAAATCTCTTAGGTGCTATCAACTATTGAGTTGGACCAGTCCATACAGAGCTCTGCTCTAGCTTTAAATGGGGCCCCGCCAATTCTTGTGTTGGGCCAGCCCATACAGAGCTCTGCTTTAGCTTTAAATGGGCCCCCGCAAGTGGACGGTGGGATTGGTCCCCCAGGGATTAGTTGAGGTGCGCGCAAGCTAACCCGGACACCCTGAGTTATCAAAAAACACTCTATCCACATTGTGACACATTATGGTGTCTCACAAAACACAACATAAAAGTGATAGGTCGCCCACTACTTTAACAAAAATAGAAATAAGATTGAGACGCGACATCATCTTGTCTAAAGAACGCTACATAATTTTCCAATCTAATGACAGAGACAAGAGAACAGAAAGATTCAGGTAAAGATGACCATTGGCCAATCAGGGAAAGAAAAAAAAAAGGATTATTTTGAAAAGAAGAAAATAAGCAGTTTTTTTTTGGCTTATTTCCTTACTTTTTGGTTTATGCCCAAAATCATTAGGAAAGACGGAAAAAGCTGTATTTTTGTTTTTTTTAAAAATTATTTTTATATGTTGTCACATGTAGGCAAAGAAATAGATTGACCATATTACTGTTATAAAATTATGTGAAATTACAATTTTACCTTAGTTCTCTTTCATAAATAAAAAGGTATTTTTATAATTTCAAAAGTTGACTTGTTTTTAACTTGCCAAATGATTTTTTGCTCAAATAAATTGGCTGGCTTTTTGGAAATAAGCCAAAAGCCAATTTTTTTGTCTTCCCAAAATAGCCGAATAAGTGAGACAAAAGCTAAATATTTGGGAATAGAACCAATTGCATAATCAGACACAACACACACCCCAGTGAGTCAATTATATTCAATTTTATTATCGACTTCTGTGTTCATAAATATATTCTTAATTATGTGTATTTTTGTGGGCAGGCTACCTTCTTAGATCAAGTGTTAAGGGAAGGTAACTCACATCCTAGTATCAATGGAATCATAGTATGGGCAGCATGGAGTCCAGAGGGGTGTTATCATATGTGTTTAACAGACAACAATTTCAGAAATCTCCCAACTGGAGATGTCGTCGACAGGCTCATCAGGGAGTGGAGCCATTCAGGATTGTCTGCAGGCACTACAGATTCCAACGGTCACTTTAAAACTCGGCTTTTTCATGGAGATTATGAAGTCACTATCACTCACCCGAATATGGTGAATTCTTCAGTGACTCGTAAGTTCAAGGTTGCTCCCATAAAAAAATCTCAACAAAAATCACTACATGTTAAGGTTTCCGCGTGAGAGTTGATGTTTAGTTTTTAGTTTTTGAATGGTTGTATTGTTTTTGGGTTGTTGGTTGATTCTTCACATGCATGTATTGAAATTGGATGTTTTTGAATCTCTCATTTGTGGAGGGAAAGTTTGAATAAATACCACAGAAATCTATTTTTTGTCAACGTCCTAGATGCAATAATGTTCCCCTTTAGAATAGACTATTTTAGTTGGTTTTTTTTTTTATTTAAATTTTTTGATTATTTTAGCTTAGCTAAAAAAGTTATGTTTGAAATAGTAGTTGGCTTTTTTTTTTTTTTTAGTTGATTTGATAATTGTAAGAGAAAAAATAAAATGATTATAGTTTAGATATAATATTTTGTCTTATTAACTATTTTAATATATTTTATCTTTATTAACTATTTTTACCCAAATCCAACTTCCCAAACACTCCCCATGTTTGGCCAAAAGAATTGAATTATTATTTGCATAGTTGATAAGCATACTGCTACACCTATAGTTACAACTACACCTCCAGTTACATGGTTACAGTTAGATAGTTAGTTAGTTTGTTAGATCAATTGTAACTATATTAGTGTATAAATATCTGTAACAGTTGATTGTGTGAAATAAGAAAGATGATTTCATATTCTTGTTATGGAATCAGAGCCAATTAAGTTCTCACGAGCAAACACAAGAAAACAATGGCAGATTCATCTTCATCACTGCCTTTACCACAAAGTCTTAGTCTCTTAGTTTCAAATTTCAGTTCATTAGTTACAGTAAAGCTTGATTCTACAAACTTTCTCATCTGGAAAAACCAGATGTAAAATGTTCTGCGAGCAACTAATTTTCTTAGCTTTGTGACTGGATCTATTCCATGTCCATCTCTAGATGTTCTTGATTCATTAGGCAAAACCATTCCAAATCCAGAATTTGAGAAATGGCAAATCATTGATGCTCATCTCCTCAGTTGCATTACTGTAAAACTTTCTTCTTCTGTATTCACCATTGTTCTGAAGTTTGTACTGCAATTGAGAAGAGATACACTTCTCTTTCTCGATCACATATTCATCAACTCAAACACAAACTTTAGAGTCTTACAAAGAAAGGATTTACAATGGAAGAATATCTTCATTAGATCAGAGATATTTCAAATCAATTAAGTCTTGAATCTTTGATCATTAATGATGAAGATTTGGTTCTTCTTACTTTGAATGGTCTTCCTGAGGAATATGATGTATTCAAACTACCATTCGGAAGATTTGTCTGCTCTGTTGTGCTCCGAAGCTATACATATGGAGAACAAGGTCAGACAAGCTCTTGGAGTTGATGTAACTGCTGCCTATACTGCAACCAAGACATCTGAGTCTGGTTTTTCCTCTTCACATTTTTCTCAACATAGAGGTCACTCTGTATCCAACCGAGGTCGACATCAGTTTCGCGGTTCTCGAGGTGGTAGATATCGTGGTGGTGGTTGATCATATCGTAATGACAGAGGCAGATCTGGAAATTTCTCTTCTACTAGTTCAGGTTGTTAGATCTATGGTGTTCTTGGTCATAGTGCCCATGACTATTGGTACAAAATGGATCCAAGTTATCGATCTTACCAGCACACAACCTCTTCTCTTAATTTTACTTCATCTGTTCGAGCATATGCTGCGCTGACACCACCCACTTCTTCTTCCATTCCTACCACTCCTCATTGGTATGTTGATTCAGCTGCTACAAATCATATCACCAATGACTTAAGCAACGTTCAATTGTACCAGCCTTATCAAGGCACAGATCAGGTTACAGTAGGTAGTGGTCAGACCTTACCTATTCATCATATTGGTAAGGGTCTTTTGCCTACACCTCAGTGTTCTCTTCATCTCAATGATATGCTTCATGTTCCTCATACTCCTTCTAATCTTTTATCTGTTCATAAGCTTACTAAGGACAGTAATTGTTTAGTTACATTTGATGCTAACTCTTTTGTTATTCAAGACAAAATTTTGAACCAAGTTCTGTCACGACCCAAACCCGCCTCTATAGGTTTAGCGTCCTAACCGGCCAGTAACCCTTGGATTACCGAAGGCCTCTTAACAGAAAAACATATAATTAGGGGTTGCGAAAGCAATAAATAGAAATATATATAGTCCATTGAGTTGTGAAGACATACATGAGACAGATATTCTTAAACTTCAATAAAGATTCGTGTGACGTCAAAAGATACAGTTAATATACATCACTCCAAGTACTGTACATATAAGCAGAAATTTACCCATAATTAAAACAAAAGAGCCAATGTCTTAAACTCAAAAACATAGCCTCGGGATTTGACATGATCTGGAACCTCCTCGGGAGGCACAAAAGGTGGCTAACAAACACAAAACTCTTCAGGCATCATCTTAAGCCTGGTCAAGCGCCTGGTCACCAACATACATAACATAAATAGTGAGCGGGAGCCCAGTGAATAATAACAGAGTAAAGATTTTAATAAATGATATCCATCATAGAGTTAGAAATCAGAGTTTTATGCATATACGGATTTCAAATAAAAAACAGATTTATATACCTGATCATATTCATTTTCAGAGTTTATACATTTCACATCATAGTACGTGGCACATCCATTAGCGTTAACAAATCCGATGACCCATAAGGGATAGCCGTGAAGGCATTTTGATAACCCACAAACGGACAGCTATAAGGCATTCCGATGACTCGTGTGCACAGAGACGTTTCTGATGACCCATAAAGACACGCATATCATATGATGCTAAGGATGCCACAAATACATTTCAGAAACTTGGACGTTCGTTCATTCACACAAAACATAGCATTTCAGAAACTAATCATGTCGTATCATCAGAAAATAATTAAGTTTAACATAACTTTACAAAGTTATTACTCACAAATAATAGGTGGCTCCAAATAGCTAAATAGAGTAGGCAACTCAGATATCTTGTGGCGCGTGACCTGCATAGGTACAAAACGAAATCATATTGAATTACACACCTGGAAACATTTACTATGTTCTTTTCTTATCTTGGTGTGTCTCTACTTTTATTCTCATTAGTATGCCTTAATCTAGGCCTAGGTATGCCTAGGATGAAATGAGGATGCAAAAATGTAATTAAAAACACTTGACAAAACTTGCTGAAAACAGAGTCCTCGCTCGAGCGTAACTTTTTGCACTCGAGCGGACATGCAAAATGTGAGTGGTCGCTCGAGCGCAAGATCCGTCGCTCGAGCAGTCTGTAAACTTTTGTAAAAGTGCTGGTTGCTTGCTTTTTTCGCTCGATGCTCGCTCGAGCACAACTTGTGTCGCTTGAGTGGATTGCAAAACATAAGAACTTCTGGGAGCTTGCATTTCATGCTTGAGCAGACTTCTGGTCGCTCGAGTAGAAGTACACGCACTCAGAGTGGTCGCTTGAGCGTGGATTCATTCGCTCGAGCGGAAGTACAAAATTTGGAATTTCCAGATTGCAATCCCTAGCTCAAAACTCGAATCTAACTCATCAAAACACAACTCTTGGTCCCCAAAACTTGAGAAAACAAGTTTAGACTTTGAAAACATTAAGAATTAAAGATCCTTTCACAAAATCAAGGCCCAAGAGTAGGTCAATTGTGCAAAAATTCAACTTGAAATATAAGAACATGATATGAACATGACGTATATGTATTCATTTGGGTTCATGGCTTCCAAAACATGATCAAATTAGGGCCAATGGTGAGAAATGGTATGAATTCTTCAAACCATGCTAGAATTACAACATGCGTGAGAGAAAATTCTTTGAAGACAACTTCAAAATGTCATGAAATATGCATGCATGTATGGTATGATTTATACTCCTTCATTCTAGTTCAATTTCAATTTAATTCTCTTGCATTCATGAACTTACCAACTCAAAAACCAGACTAAAGGCTCGAATTCTTGCCTTATACTTTGGATTCACAAGTGTAGAGGCTTAAATTTCTAAACTATCCTCAAGTTTCCAACAATTCCTAGCAATTCACTCATTTTCCCTTGTTGAACTCACTCTCACTTTTGGTCTCTCTCTTTCTCCATGTGTTGTAGCTTAAAAAGAATAAAATGAGAGTGTATGGATGCATATAAGAGTCCACTAGTGCCTTAGTTAGGCTTGGATTAAAGAATTCATCAATTAGTCTTAATTGAGCACTAGTTACTCTAATTTAATCGTTCCGAATCGAATTTCAATTAAACCTACCATAAAATTCTAAAAATTCTAATTAACACATAAATCAAGTTAGTTTCTGAATCGGATGCCGATAAGGCCTTCAATTCGCAACTGAAAGGGAAACATGAACAGATCTTTCTACATTAAACAGAAACAAACACATATAAGGCAACATATGATGCAACATTTAACTTTAATTAATTATTAGGCATAATTAAGCATGGTTTAACATTAATCATGGGTCTGGGTTGTTACAGGTTTTGCATAAAGGCTCTAATCATCATGGGCTTTATCAGTTTGCATTCCCTTCTTCATCTCCTCATTCTCAAGCCTGCATTGCTCACTCTCCTTCTCAAGTCTCTATGTCCACTTGGCATCAAAGACTTGGCCATCCTTCTTCCCTGAAAATGCAGTATATTGTCAAACATTTACCTGTTGCTTTAAAAAATAATGGTGTTGAATTTTCATGCAGTCCATGTAATGTTTCTAAGATCCATAGATTACCATTTAAGCTTTCTTCTACTACTGTAAATAGGCCTTTTTCTTTTGTTCATAGTGATGTACAGGGCCCCTTTCATGCTTCTACTTCTGGTTTTAAGTACTATCTCTTGTTTGTGGATGACTTTACTAGATTTACTTGGATTTACCTTTTGCATGTCAAAAGTGAAGTTTTTTCCACATTTCTTTCTTTTGAAGCTTATGTTGAAAATCAGTTTGCTACTCATCTTCAAATCTTAAGGACTGATAATGGTACTGAGTTTGTTAATAAACAAATGGATGCTTATTTGGCTCAAAATGGTGTGATTCATTAACTTAGTTGTCCTTACACTCCTGAGCAAAATGGCATAGCTGAGAGAAAACATCAACATATTACTGAGACTGTTATTGCCTTGTTATCACAGTCTTCTATGCCAATTTGTTTTTGGTTTGAGGCTATTGCTACTGCTGTTTTTCTCATTAAT